ATTTGTAACAAAAAAAAAAAAAAAAAAAAAGTTGAACCTCTAACATAGACACTTCAATTTAACAAGGATTATTATTAGTTTCTTCCAACAATGAATAAACTTCATTCACAGGTATTTGTTAAAATAGTAACGTGCAATCTATCAGTGGTGTGATTATACTGTTTTTCTTCAGAATTTCTAGTATAAAGAAAACTGGTGAGGGTGAATAAAAATGTGTTTTCAGGGCTGGGGATTTAGCTCAGTGGTGCCACCACCTTGCCTCATAAGCACAAGGGCCCAAGTTTGACCCCCAGTACCAAAAAGAAAAAAAAAAATGTGTTTTCCCAGATCCGGAGCCAACTCTAATATTCACACACACATGAATGGAAAAAGTGCATGCAAGGTGTTGCCTATGCAAGCACAGCATGCAGCTCCATGTAGGAGCTGGATGGACAAATAGCTGCACCCCATCTAGCCCATCACCTTGGTCCTACTGAGACACTAGCACACCTGGTCCAAACTCCATCCCTGTTTCCCCACTTACGCCCCAATTCTAAAACAAAGTAACCCAAACACACACACAATGAACGGTCATCAATCGGGTACAGAGACATCACTGGAGTAAGAGCCAAGCTTCAACACACAATGTGACTTACCTTCCCCGATCATAGAGACCCCCACGGACATGCCCATGAACTTGCTTTTGGTCCATACATGAGTGTTGACACACAGTCTCTTTTCCTTGCACTCACAGTAAAAGCAGGAGATGGGAGGGTGATGGGACACTTGCTCAGCTACAAATCGTAGCTTGTAGCTTCTGGAAGGGTCTTCAGCCACCGGGTGTTCCTGACAGCCAGCAGAAGAGGGCGGAGCAGTCCTCTTTGGCTTGACCCTGTCCCTGGGAACCTCCCAGGAGCAGTGAAATGTCTCGCCGATGATGGGGTTGTAGGGCTTCTTGGCCAAAGCCCCCTTTCGGCCCTCGCGGAAGGCTGTGAGATAATACTCCACAAAGCAAATGACTCTCTCCTCAGGCGTGGCCCCAGCAGTGATGGCCAGCAGCAGGTCAGGGTGTGTCATAAAGTCTGCATACATCTCCAGCAAGGATCGCTTCTCCAGGATAAATGTGGGGAGCACCACCTGCATTTGGGGGGCACAAAGGCAGACAGAAGGCCCTGTGATTACCCGGGAAAAGCAGACTGTAGTCACTGTCAAGCACTGGAAAGGGTCCAAGCCCAGGAGCAGACGTTTTTGATTTGTGCACCAGTGAGAAATCAAGGGAAATTACATCAAAGAAATGAGAATTGAGAGCGATATCCATGTCAACCCACCAGCCAGAGATTTAGCTCAGTGGTGCCACAGCCTGCATCACAAGCACAAGGTCCCGAGTTTGATCCCCAGGTACAAAAAAAAAAAAGACTTCTGAGCAATTTTCTTCTTTGCTCAACAGGGCTAAAATAATAGTCTCCGCCTCTTTCCATGCCGTGACCCTCCTGATCTACTCTGACCCTCTTCCTTCTCCAGATGGTAGAGATGTGAAGAAACCAGCCTGGAAAGGCTTGTCCTCATTCCTCCTGCAGGCAGGCCCCATCACCAGGGGTGCGCAGTGTGCTCATGGTTTGTTGGTGATGAGTCAAGGGGACCTAGGCAGACCCCAGATCATGGGTGTCTATCTGGTTGTCTGAGCATATACCTTAACACGATAGAGGCGGAGGCCCGTCAGCAGGCAGATGCCTCAGAGTTGCCATGGAGAGAGGGGCTACTGTGAAGTCATCTTCGGAGGCTGCTCCATGAATCAAGACCCAAAGAAACTTTGTAAGTAAGAAGTCACACAAAGTAAGTGGAGCTCAACATACAGAATCTTCTGGTAAAAGGTGACACAGGGGGTACCCCTAGGTTTGCTATTATTGGCTCATGACTGAAGGTAAGTATAACCTGATTGGCTGTCAGCATGGGACAAAGGGAACCCAGGGCTCCACAACCCCAAATGCATATAACCCAATGATTATGTCATTTAAAGCACATTCTGAATCCAGAAAGCAAATAATTTACTACTGCCACAGAAAGCAGAGAGAGCTCACTCCTCACCGCCCTAGAGTCATTGTAACGGGGCTTGGTTGGGGGATTACCCTCTTAGTCACCAAACACAGCTAACATTCCTGGACCACCTCACTGTTCCTCCTCACATAGTTACGCAGCGCTGTGAAGCTGGAAGGCTGATCCAGACCTGCTGGCTGGTCCTGGGCAGCCCCCAAGATGCTCAGTGACACGAGCCGCTTCACATCCCCCCTTACATGACCACTTCCATTCACCCTTTACATAGTCCCCAAGTCCCATGAACATATTTGGGAAGGCAAACGATAAGTGACCACGAACATCATCCAGGCTCACCAATGTAACCGTGACTCTTGACTCCCTTTCCGAAAACCGTTCCTGGCAGTAACATGGCTGAATCAGGAGAGATGTTCAGAGAAACTAAGCAAAGCACAGAGTGATTTCAGAGGTTTGGTAGACACCTCTTAATGCTATTTATCTTTTATTTAAGAACTATATTTTCCTATCTGTGCTAAGAAAGAAGCAAGATATAAAACTGAACATGTAATGCAATCCAAATGAATCCATAAAAAAAGACTCCACATGTCAACATGTCTTCCTAGACAACAGAACAGACTGATTTAAAATTTTCCCTGAGCTCCCTCTGCTTTGTCTTAATACTACATAGGAAGACAAGACATTAATTAAACTGTAACTATGTGAACCAGCAGAGAATTCCTAATTTTTCTTTCGGTCACAACTGGACAAAATTGAGAGTCATGCCCGAGGATGTCACTGGGCCAGGAAGGGAGTGCGTGGTGCAGCACAGCTTTCAGATGTCACCCCCGTCACTTCCTGCATTTTCCTGTAGGGACAAGTTCTCATCTAGCAGCTGTCACGGCTCTTTCTGGGGTCTGCTCCACCAAAGAGGCTCCCAGAGCTGAGCTTTGGTGATCACTCACCAAGCCACACAGACACAGCCACCCAATTCTCCTCTCCCAACCCAGAGGCACTCTAGGGCCTCTCTGAACCCCACCCAGACCTGCAGCACAGGTTGTAGACTGCGGCAGCTGGAAAGCCCCCAGTGAGGCCAAATTAAAAAGAAAAGCAGCCACAAATGTCTCATTCCTGCTATCCCAACTGGCTCCTTTCCCTTCTCCATTTCTAGACTCATAAGCACAGGGGAGCAGGGGGCAGGCAGAATCATGCAAGAAGAGCAGTCTGTCCCAGTGGATCTAACTTCAAGCAAGGACGCACCCACATCCCGATGTTTCATCCTTCTCCCTACCCAGTGGTAATGAGGTTTTTCCAGCCGTGCCCCACCCCAGCCCCCAGCCCCCAGCAGGTATTCCCACGTTCCTAAGGTATTCCCACATTTCTATCCGAGACTAGAATTCTAACAGAAAAACCAGCTACAATGCTATCTCTCTAACTGTACTTCTGAAAAGGTCAGGATTTACGGCATTTTCCCTAATTTAGTCAGCATGTCTAAACTCAGAAGCTAAAGGATTAAAAATAGGAAAATAACTCCACACAGAATCCCAAACCACTGAATGTCAGAACCCAAAGGACCTCAGAGCTTCTGCAGTTTCATACCCTGGTCTCACATAAATGAGGTTAAAGACCAGGGAAGAGAGCAGTTAGGCACTGGACTGAGGTTGCGCAGGGTTCCCAGCTGCCACCCACACTCCTGTCCTCCCCTACAACAGATCATGACAGCATGCCTCCACCTCGAAAGAACATTTCCTTCTCAGTGGCCTAAGGAGATGGACTAGGAGCTCGGATGGCTGGGCCACAGACCTGCTGTCACTGATCAAGTAGGGAGAAGTCAGTGCAGGAACAGAGTGGGAACAAACCCACTTTCTAGGCTATTCTACCTTCCCCGGCTTGGCAAAAAAAGCCCCAAAGCCCACCATTCTAAATGCCATTGTTAGGGGGTGAAGGGAGGGCAGGAACAAGGGGAAAAAATGAGAACCAAGATCTGTCATGTAAAGGTACAAGATCCCAATAATGAATGTACCTAAAATGTACCAATAAACTCAATTAAAAAAAAATAAATGCCATTGATAATATTACAGGCAGAAAGAGACCTTCGGGCTGGGCATTCTCTCTAGCTTCCAAACTGGCCTTCCAGCCGCCTGCTGTGTTACCTTGAGCCCTTCCTCTCCAGCCAGAGTCAACTTCCTAAACTCCCTGAAAGAGACACAGTTCAACCTGGCCGCACCTCCCCAGTCTCACACCAAACCTCCCTCTCTGCCCTCCTCTCCTGCTTTGTCTCAGTGATGAAAAAGCTACTTGTATTCGGCTCCAGGACCACCTCCTCTATGAAGTTTTTTCTGAGTTCCTGCTCCTAAAGCCAAATCAACAACTCCCTTCACACCCACAGAGTGCCCGGCACACATCTTCATCAAAGTGTCCTCAATGCGCTTTGCTCTACTACACACGTTTCCTGACTCTTTGTAGGATCTGAGTCCCTTAGACCTGGCATGAATCAAGGCAAACCAATGACTGATGCCTTAAGGACATGTTTTCTTTGACACGCGAGGTGAGGTGACCACCACCTATTTCCACACGCAGGTTCTCCTGCAGGACACCTGCATCACTCCAGATGACTTCAGGTTGCTGCTTCTCTCCAGGAACCCCAGAATATCCACACACATGCCAAGGAAGGTCGTGGCCAGGAATGCACTGAAGCCTGCCTAAACAGGACCTGGCTTATCTCAGGAATGTGGTTTCCAGGGCAATGAACCACAGAGCTCAAGGCCTCAGAAATGCTCTGTGACCAATGAATAAGTGGACTCAAAACTGGTCCAGCCCAGGCAGTCAGATTCCCTGAGACATCCTGGAGACACGAGAAGGCTGGGTGAACTCTGGAAGAGGGTCTTCAGAAGGAACGCAGTGCCTAAAGACTGATCCGTGGGAAAAAGGCCCTGCTCAATAGCCGCTGTGTGTTATTAATGCCCAAACTGTTTAACTAAGAGGGGGAAAAAAATCAATCCAAATTGAGGAACATTAATAAAAAGTGACTTGGGAATCTTCAGAAACTTCACTGCCAGGAAAGGGAAAAAGGATGACATTTTCTAGATTAAAGATAATTAAAGAGACATGTAACCAGATGTAATATGATTTAGATTGGATCTTGGACTTTAAAAATAACTACAAGGGGTATCACTGAGACAATCTTGGGAAACGCGACAGTGGGGCTGTACATACAATAGAATTTTTTCAATGTTACCTTTCCCAGGGGTAACAAATGTGCTTTATGCAAGAAAGGCCTGGCGCAGACCCTCACTGAAAGGTCAGGGAAAAGCTGCCATGACCTCTGCCAAGCACTCTAAGATGATTCTTCAGAGAACGATCACACACACTCATGTGCGTGGGCAGGTTGTGGGGGGACAGAAGAGCACGGAGTGAGCGTGAGAGGGGAGGGTTGTAGCTCAGTGGGTATGCTAGCCTGGCATCCCTCACAACAAAGTGGGCGTGAGAATGCACTACAGGAAGAACGTGAAGAAGGTGGGAAATGGAGAGAACGGCAGAGAAAGAAGAGAAAAGAAACAAAGGGCAATAAATTATATGGGAATCCACTGTAAAAATCTCAAAACTCTGCTGCGGATTGGAAAATATTCAAAATAAAACACTAGAGGAAAAGGCTCTCCTGGGGTCAGGGATGCGACAGCGGAGAAGGTATCAATTTTCAGATAACCCTCCTGAATTTGTAGACTGGGGGACGACGGGCTCACAGCTGTCAAGCCCCACCTACTTACATGTGCACCCTGCACTGTGATACGATGCCGGCGCTTTGGCAGAGTTAGAAAAGAGCACAGACTACCTGGAGAGTGGGAGCTCACCAGGCTTGGGGTGGCTTCCGAAACCAGACAGGCTTCGAGAGCAGTACCTGGACACCCCTGACAAGATACCGTTTTCTCACCGAAACAGAATTCCTAGCCTGCTCACATTTTCTTCCCTTGTCCAATCTTCTGGCCCTCCCACCTCCTTTTCTCAGTGCATTTAATCATCAGTCACTTAATCATCTGTTTCTTGGGCAGCAGACACAGGGGATGCAGAACCAAAAAATGCTCAGTACTAATTGGGCTGTCTGCCTCCAA